CAGTAAACACACTTCATACACTTGTAATACAGCAGAGATGCTGCTACATACACTTCACAGATCCAGTAAACACACTTCATACACTTGTAATACAGCAGAGATGCTGCTACATACACTTCACAGATCCAGTAAACACACTTCATACACTTGTAATACAGCAGAGATGCTGCTACATACACTTCACAGATCCAGTAAACACACTTCATACACATGTAATACAGCAGAGAATACAGATACTCCAAATATACAACAGACTGAAAACAATGCATAAATATTATATATTAAAGATAATTATTAAGAATATAATACCAGCATAACTAACCATTAACCTTGTGATATTCAACACTTGTTTAACACTGATATTCAATGCTTGTTTAACACTGTGATATTCAATGCTTGTTTAACACTGTGATATTCAATGCTTGTTTAACACTGTGATATTCAATGCTTGTTTAACACTGTGATATTCAATGCTTGTTTAACACCGTGATATTCAGTGCTTGTTTAACACCGTGATATTCAACACTTGTTTAACACTGATATTCAACACTTGTTTAACACTGATATTCAACACTTGTTTAACACTATGATATTCAACACGTGTTTAACACCGTGATATTCAACACTTGTTTAACACCTTGATATTCAACACTTGTTTAACACCTTGATATTCAACACTTGTGGTTCATGTGTTTTATACACTCTATTAGAGGACTGTCTGTTTACACAAATATATTATGACTATTGAACACATTTTTCATCATACTGTCATCATAAAATCCTATTTTATCTAAGCTTCACAACAAATACATCTTAGTACAAAGATGATGATATTCTTCCATAAATCATCTAAACATATGTAAAAATAAAATGTAGAGCATAAAAATTACACAACTAAACTCAATGAGAGTAGAAAATAGAATTCATACCTTTTCATAGAGGTCTTTTAAAAGATCCTTGACAGTTATATGGTTACCAGGTTGACCGAGACCAGTGTCCCAGTTCACTCCTCTGAAAAACAGTTAAAAATAATCACTTACTGAAATGTGATGCGAAAAGGATTTGTAAGAATTCTTCTCGTATAGTTAGAAAGCCTGAATGTTTTTCAGGGATGCCGAGTTATATCAAATTCCGAGTTATCAAGGGATTACTGTACTTTTCTCAAGCCTCATTATTGCCTATTTTGGTCTGTATTACTGAATATATATTTTTTGACACAACTTTGTAGGACTTTGCTACTGGTACATGTTTGTCATACCAAGTTATACATTGATACTGCTGTTCGGTTCATCTCATGTAATTTGCTATAACAGATGTTTAACTTTTTAATTATCAAATTTAGATTCTTCATTTGTCAGAAACTTAAACTTAACTTATTTCTAGTCCATGGTATGTAGATGTAGCTTGAAGTTCCAGTGCACCATCTACATTGATTTAATTTGACTTAAAACAGATCTCGCCAGACTTCGGGCATCTTATGACAAGCACTCTAGGTCACCGCCGACGTCCCCAGGACCAGAAGCAGTGTCCATACAATCGGAGTCTTCCTATTCATCGCCTACAGAGTCTAGAGACAGAAGTCCTTCTCCGTCCCAAGAGGACGATGAACAGTGGGAGACTGTTGCACGTGTCCGGACTACTTCAGACCTTCAGTTTGAGCATGTGACAGAAGACGAACTGTTGGGTATGCTGAGGGAAACGGACAACCTTGAAGAATTAGGAGACCTACTCCACTTTCTTGTTGTTACCAAGCATGTATCTCTTCTTCATCAAACTCAAAGTGGAAATAAGATGAAAAATTAAATTTTGTTGTTGTAGTATAATTGTGATTGAGGTGTTGTGTAATTGTTTGTGTTTATCACAAAATTCCTCATTACTTGAGTCGGACATTCGTGGTCAGTGGGTCAACACTAATAAAGCATTACGTACTTTAAACTCTATTTATAAGTTAATGGTGATGGATACTTGTGACATTTGTAATTGTTTTTATTTTATCTATTTGTAAGAATTGAGTTAAAGAATCATTATGAGTTTTCCCAAAGATTTTAGTAAATTAGTTTTTAATCAGCTAGCTTATATTGTTGAATACTGATCAAGTAATTAGCATAATATACAAGTGTTTATGTTTTTGTAGCGTGAGTTGTCTTGTATAGTGCTGTTCCAAATCAGTCAACCACTCAACTGACTCCAGTTGCTTGTATAGTGCTGTTCCAAATCAGTCAACGCTCAACTGACTCCAGTTGCTTGTATAGTACTGTTCCAAATCAGTCAACCGCTCAACTGACTCCAGTTGCTTGCCAACTGGAGTCAGTTGAGTGGTTGACTGATTTGGAACAGCACTATACAAGCAACTGGAGTCAGTTGAGTGGTTGACTGATTTGGAACAGCACTATACAAGCAACTGGAGTCAGTTGAGTGGTTGACTGATTTGGAACAGCACTATACAACTTTGAGAGATATCAGGGCAGATCT